GATTTTGTGTATGTGTGATGAAAGAACTATTGAAAGCCTTTTCATTAGAAAGATGATAGAAAACTGTACCTTATACTATAAAATTCTGCTAATATAATTCTTACTCTGCTCTAAATACAACCATAGGGTTTTTATTTTCCATCAAGGGAACATAATACCCCTCCTGCATCAGAGCACCATTTGCTCAGGAACTTTACTGTGCATTAATAAAAGCACAACTTTTACTGAGTTGTGCTCATATAAATCAACCTCTATGTTTTTTTGTAACCCACCAGAAATGGCTCTTTATTCTCCTAACTTTTCCAAATGTGAAAAAGAAAAAAAAAAAAGAAAAAAAGAAAAAAAAAGAAAAAAAGAAAAGAAAAAAAGAAAAATCAATCTCATGGGGAAAAAAATGCATTTGATGTACATAAGCTTCCAACAGTTGGTCCACAAAAGCTACACAAACAACATGCTTTTTCATCCTATTGATTTCTTTTTTTTCTTTTTATTTTTTGCTTCCTAGGACAGGCCAGCTTTCATGACAGGAGCAGTCCTAGTACAGACAGTTCCAGGCAACTGCTTTCATTGTGAACAGTTTCAGTAACTGAACAGGTCAGTTACAGATCCCACCATGTCAGGGTCTACACCAGCATGCACTATCCCTAAACACCAGAGAAACACACAGGGAAGTTTTAACCTAAAAGCAACAGGAATAACCTGGCAAACTATTCACATGCCTGCAGTAAGCAAGTTAAGCAAGACAACTTTGACTTGTCCCAGTTACAGAGCACTAAACCTGACCACTGAATGCGTGTCAAAGATTCTGACAAAAAGAATAATGGCTTCTTAAACACTATTATTGAGAACAAACTAGTATAGTTTAACAGCAATCATAGTTTAAGATAACCTTTGGAGAGCTGTCAGAAATTATTAAACATTGTAAATATCTATAATTAGCTGTTTTCAGCATTCATCTCAGTTTGAGAAAAAAATTGCTAAGATAGCTATTAGCATGCTTAAATCAAAGTTTTACAGAAAACTGGCCAGCTTGCAAAATTCTGGGGAAAATTCACTTCTGAGTATCATTTACAAGTGAACTTCACTTTAAGCACTGACACTTGCTAAAAGCCAGAAGAAAAATTCAAGATTCCACTCTAAGATGGAATTTTTGAACATAATGGAAAAAAAGAAGTGAGTGTCTCTAGCACAAGGTCAGTCCCTGTTCAGGAACTTGGCTTTGGAGTGTTAGGTTTTGCATGGAAAAAGTTTAGGTGGATGGGTAGGGGTTAATGCTAGAAGAAATGGAAGATAAATAAATATTTCCTACAGAAACATTTTGGGTTTTCAGTGGATTTTAAAGGGGAAGGGGGGAGAAATCAATATATTGACTATCAATATCTATCAATATTAGTTTGAAATCCATTACCATCACAATATTTTCACCTTTGATGATATATTATTAAAAATATAGTCTCATTACTATTATCTGCATCATATGGCAGAGATTTTTTTTATTTCTAAACAATATATTCTTAGCACCCATACTTTAATATGGAAAAGGCCTAAAAAAAGGATAAAAGCCAGAATTGGAGTACAAAACACCAAACTACGTGCACCTTTCACTATAACCATTGGCATGTGACAACTCTAATCAATGCAAGTACAGTGATCAGCTGGAACTTATGCCTGCATAATAACAAGCCTAAATAAATAAGAAATAGAAAAATAATATTTGAGAATATATGAACTCAAATAACTAGTGTGATTGAAGGTGCTTGCAGCTAAGGCACCTGTGCTTATTTCCTCTTAGGAAGCAGCAGATGCTCAGGCAATAGATGCCCTGACATCTTCCTCATTATAACACAACAAACCTCTCAGAAACTCTTGCAAGACCAATTCAAAGAGGTTTTCAGATCTATAATAAAAAAAATCTGATAACAGAACCTTCAAAATTAGCAACTCCAACACCACAGACAGAGAATAACTGCCATAACCAGTCTGTCCTTCAGTTGGGTTCGACAATCTGCAATCAGAAGTCTCTCTGAAGTCCTTTAGCAGCAAAAGTAAAGGAGCAGGAGTTCATATGGGAACAAAAGCATTAAGAAGATACAAAAATGCCCTTAGAGAATGAGTGAAAGCCAGATTCATAGTCTCAAAGTAGGCACTGGAAATAAGACCTATATTTTAAGTCAAGGTCCTCTTCAGGGACATTAGTAGTTACACTCTCTTGTGATTGCTAAAAAGAAAAATACACCCTATGTCTCATTCTCTTTGATTTCAAGTGGATAAAAGGCCATGCATGGGTACCCAACACTGCTGCACACATACTTTTTCATCTGTTTTGCTTAAACAAGTAATAAATTCATTGTCACCAATGACCTCATCAGCACAGACTTACCTGCATCTGCAGTATAAAAAGTGTTCCATAAAAAGAAATTCTATTTTATATCATTAATCAAGACTTTTAAAGCTACTATTTGATAGACAAAGTGAACTAGCTCACCTTTGTCTTATTTACTTGTAGAAATAGCTTGTCTATCTGTCCAAAAAGACACCGGTGATGTTGCTTTACAGGATATACTGATGGAGTCAGACTTTGCTTATGATCAGGTAATGTTATTTTTATCCCAGTTCTCCATCAAGCCACTTTAAAGAGGAATTTAAGTTTTTCCACACACTTTACAAGCCTCTTTCAAAATGTGCACTATTTCCATTTGTCAACTAGCATGTTTTCAAGGCAATCCTGCTTGAGCCACAAGGTCATGGATTCTCCCTCTCTGGAGACATTCCCGTGTAACCTGGTTTAGGAGACCCTGCCTTGGAAGGTGGGTTGGATTAGGTGATCTCCAGAGGTCCCTTCCAACCCTAAAAATTCTATAATTCTATAATTCTGTAACAAATAGGAAGAAACACAGAAGAGTATAACAAAAAAAACTTACCACAAGATAAAGATTACAATATATTCTAGAGTATTTCAATAAGTACCCACTAAAAAGAGAGCCCTAATTTGGGGTCAGCACTTCATAGTGAAGTAATCAATCAGAAGACTGCTGCAATGCTACTTGCTAGAGCACACATGATCACCTGTAAATTATTTTGAGGGTGGGACTTTTGAAGCAGGGAGAGATGCAAACATACAAATGTAAATTTTGACCACAACTATAAAGGAATAGTAACAAATCCAGTAAAATGTACCCATGTAAAAGTAGGGCCTTTGCTTATGCACAACTCTGCATAAGATACTCAATCACAGATCCTCTCAAGTTTCTTTTACACCAGGTCAAATGTCTATTCTGAAACACACCACCTGAAAAAGCACTAAATAAAATACAGAAAAACTGAGTAATCTCACACTTTTTTTTCCTTTTTTGGCCAATTTTTTTCAATGCTTAATGGTTTCAACATCTGGTTTTTGAAACTGCATCTTTAATGCATTCAATGTTTCATGCCTGTAAAGAAAACTGTTCGAAGTGAAGAGAGAAGACTGAAAAAGTCAAATCATTGGCTTCCTTGATCTAGGACCAATTTATGTGCATTTTAGTTAATAAATTTAACTCCTGGTAGTTTGAAATGTCAATTAACTCAAAATAAGTCCCATTAGATAGTGCAGATACTGGATTCTCCTGTTTGACTCTGGTTGAAATGCACATGTAATTGAGTGCAAAACAATCACTATTAAAAAGCACAGTATACTGTCACTTTGAAAAAAAAAGAAGTTTCATAAATGAAAAAAAAATTTGTCTTTTTAATTCACTCAAACTCTGTAATTCTAGCTCAGATGTATTTAGTTTTATTCTACAATGTACTGAACAAACATTACTGAAATTACTCTACCAAGACCCCATCAGCAAAGACTGGATTTTTTCCATATGGAATAAATACTGCTATCATTTTACATATGTCTTTGCTTACTTTCAGTTCTAAATATAAAAACATTGTAAACAGAAACAGGCATAGAAGAGTTATCAAATCCTGCTAGAGCCAAAACCTGGACACAAATGTAACATCATAAGGCAAACAGGTTTGAACTCAAAATGAAATTCCAGGACTCCAAGTGCTATAGAAAGCAGATGCTAAACTCAAAACATATCAGTGCATTTTCATCAAACCTTGGGGTTTGATTTGGTGTTTTTTTGTTATTGTTGTGTTGCTTTTGTTGTTGGGTTTTTTTAAGTGTTCACAGAAAACTAATTTGCCATTTTGACAGCCCTAGCATGTAAAGCCTGGACAAAAGAGCAACTGTAAGCATTGAAAGCCTACTCCCAACCAAACAAGAATAAATACGTTCCTGAAACCCAGCCAAGCAGCTGTATTTCAAAAAGGTTCTGTTTAATTCTTAATTTGGAAACAAAAGAAAGTGCTTTGCAACGTATTATTTGCATTCCTCTAACAATCTAGAAATCAGATTCTGTGCCTGCACATACAAAAGCTGAGATGTAATTTGGCAGACTAGACTGTATTATCATGTATTCAGCTTTTTTACTAATAGACCTTTGCTTCACGGAAGTAAGATGCCAATGAAACATTTCAAGCAAGACAGAAATTACATGCCACAATAAAGTAAGGGAAAGAAAGAGTTCTGGCTTCAAACTGCTTGCTGTTTGTACTTCATGCAACACATGGCAAATCACACACTGGTCAGGCAACTCCCTATAGCTCAGGACAAATAAATTTGTAGATGGTTCTTACTAAGGATTCAGTTCTGACAGATCCTCAGTAACTGCAGTGGCAAGAAAGATGCTTCTAACTTCACTGCACTCCTCAGATTTTACAATGGTGTTTTTACTTCAACAGGAGCATCCCCCATTTGCACAGACACTACTTTTGAGTTGGTTTTGTCATGCTTGAGAGAGCTCTAGGAACGAACTGCTGTTTCATTTAAAGTCCTACTTCACTTTCACTGCCCTTCTGTAGTTAAAAATATATGGGGGAACGACAGAGGGGCCAGATGTCTCTCTAGTCAGCTTGTTAAACACTGTAGCAAAGTTATTACTGAAAGAATATTTAAAGGAACTTACCAGTAGAGAAAACAAGAACTGTGTTGTCCCAAAGACCATATGTTTTCAGAGCATCGGTAAGATTTCCTACAGCTTCATCCATAAGAGTCACCATCCCTGCATAATGGCGCCTCTTTAAGTCTTTTATATAAAAATATGGTTTCACATATTCTTCAGGGACCTCAAGAGGTTCATGGACAGACTGAAAGGCAAGATAGAGAAAGAGGGGCTGGGGTGGAAGGGACAGAATGCAAATTAGTTGAACATTGAGTACTACGTGCCAAAGTTACCACAGCAAAAGCAGACCTGATTCATCAACAGTGCTGGCAGTGTGTTTTGGTTTGTTCTACATCTTCTAATCCCTGCACATAAACTAACAAAACTTTGAAAAATTACTTCTCCAAATCTGTGGAAAAACATTAAGTGTATCTTTTCTTCATAATATATTTGTGAATAATTTATTTCTACTAAACTTCTCACATTAAATTTTCCATTCTCTTCTTAGAAGTGCAAACTACTAGCTAAACCATTTCTAAAAACTTATTAATTGTATTGTAATAAAAGAAATGGAGATCTGTAGCAGGCCAGTGCCATGCAAACAAAGATGACCATTTTTACCAGCACTACTTCTCACATTTAGCTCTATGCACCTTAGCGAATAGCACCGAATTACAGTTCAAGTGCAGGTCTCTCTCTCTTCATATTTCATTCACATTTTTTAAAACATTCCTTAACACTGAAGTTATCAGAGTAACAGCTGATGACTGTACCTTCTCAGTTTTGTGATTGGCTATAAGATCTATTGCTCTTTCTGTAAATAAATTTGTGGAGTACATATTTTTAAATCCAGTTGCAACTTCTTCTCCATCTCGAAAGTCCAGAGCACAGCGCGTTACATTTTTTGTTTTGATGAGGACGCAGCGGTCATGAGTATAATAATCCTCACTGCCCAAAAGATAGCCTAGAACAGGAAAAGATGTGAAATGAGCAGGTCAACATCATGTCACAGAAACAGATACATCAGAGGCAGAAAGAAGTCAAACATAAATGTCAATACTTCAGTGGTTTTGAGTTGAAGCATGAATTCAACACTGGACCACCTACAGAGATACCCCTGACAGTTCTAAGTAGTACAACATTTAATACCTCATAGGCTTTTCACCATGAATGCAAGTAGTAATTTCAAAAGAAATTAAACATTTTGAAAGCCGTTCCAAGACTTCATATTTATAATTTGATATCAAAAACATTAGCAATAAACTAATGCACTGATTGCAAAGGCAGTTATCTAGTCTGTGTATAAACTAGTCTGATTTTTCTGGTATGAATTTGTATGTTTGTATTTTCTATTTGAATGTTTGGAATTTTAAAAATTTATTTATTCAAAAGCACTCAAGTACGAAGCATGTTTTATGTCAGCTGCAAAGTAATTTCTGATCCATTACTGACACCAGGTGGTGAAGAAAGGACACTATCATTTAGAGATACCCAAAAGAAACCAAGCAAAAATTCTACAGATATAGATTTGCTCCTACCTAAGGCTATCCTATGGAGCAGGATAACGCTACCCTTTCTGTTTCAGCTATCACAAACAAAACTTTTAAAAATTCTTTGAATATCAAAAATTACTACTACTTACTTGAATTTTTATTCAGCAGCTTCAAATAGTTATTTGTGCAAAACGTATGTACAGAAAGAATGAAGTTACCTTAAATACAATATAAATGTCTAATATATTTTTAGGAGGAAAAAATGCATTTTCTTTCAAAGCATAAAGACTGACTTTGTGGGCAGATGGCTTACATAAATGTACTCAGAGGCACAAATTGCATTTTTTTCCATTTTGAAGGGCCACTGGGGGACACACTCCATCAAGTGTGGCATGGAATCAAATGCTGCTAATCGATGCCTACTGTAATTTCATTAACATTTTAGGATATTGAACCATTACATTCCCTGAAAAATAATGTCATATTGGGTACCCATACAGTCTGGTACCCAGTGCCAGACTGTGTTCAGGCTTGTGCATTAAGTGCTTGCTCAGTCCTAGGGTGAGATTTCATGAGGAATGGCAGCCTACCTAAATCTATGCTATCAAAAGATCCCAAGCTTCTGTGAAGGGATGGGAGGAAGCATATATGTTTAAGCAATGAGCCATTGTATTCTGATCCACATATAATGGCTTAATTCAGTTGTGAAACCAGAAACACAAGCTCCCTGAAGACTCAAAGGAGATGAACTACCTAAGGGAACTGTTTTTTCTACCTAACATTTGGATCAACACTGTCTATAGAAGGCACATTGCACAATCTTGCTCTTCATTTAAGCCTAAAGTTAGAAAAGAGCAACACAGGCCTCTGTACATTTCTGCAATGAAATGCAGAGCAGACAGCCCAAGTCACTTAACATCTGTGACACTTGTGCACAACTAATAAACTTCCAATCAGCACTGGGAGAGGAGCCCAGCATCATAAGAGGAAGAATGAGCAATGGGTAGCTACAAGTTGCTGTGTAAGTAGTGGACTCACACATGGACAATACATTTTTTTATTAGTCTGAGAGTTTGACTTTGTAACTTGCAAGCTTTTGCATGCTGCTTTATAGAGGTTTTCACACCATCCTGTCACCAGCTCCGGAAAACCAATGCTACACAAACGGACAGTAATCCCCATTCCCTGCTCTCCTGTGCTACTGTGTGGAAGAGGTAGAGAACTGGGAATAAACTTAAGCTTGGGAAAGAGGGCGGGGGGAGGGGGGAGTCAGAGATCGTAAGAACAGAATACCTTATTTGGAGCCACACAATAATTACAGTATTTTCTTCAGTAAGTTGTTAAGTTTAGGTAGATGCTTAAAGGCATTCTTTTAAGCAGTTCAGAAACACGCACACCCAGGTACTGATGTACTTCTAAACTAACAGTAAATCTGTTGTTCTTAAAAGAATGGGGCAGTTTTTTACCCTTTTCAACACTGCATTTATTGCCCATGTTAAATCAAACCATTACCGAAGAAAGTATCAAATCCTCTGCGAGTTGGAAGGCATTCTTTTCTGTACATCCCTAAATGCCACTTCCCCACCATATGAGTAATATATCCCGCCTCTTGAAGTAGCTCTGGGAGGAGTTTCTCATCCAATGGCAGACAGCTGGGCTGGCATGGCCAAATTATCTGGTGTTGTAAACCTGTGTGGATCTAGCAGATAAAAGAAGCATGAGAGACCACTTACAATGCAGTCAGGGGTTCCCATGGGTTAATTTATAACCAGGCCCAAAAGGACATACAGCTACATCAGAGGTTAGCCTTAGTTTTAGGGGATCCTCTTTTTACTGATGTAGCACTAAGGAAGATGAGGAAGCTGCAAGTGGAGGGCAAGGTGGCATGGAGGAAGACAAGAAAATAGCACTGCAAGGGTTAACATCATCTTCCCAGGCATAAATCAAATGCAATTTAAAAAAACCAACAAACATCAAAACCAAAAAACAAAACAACACAAAACCAAACAAACCCAAAGCTTATAATGTTTTTAGCTAAAAATCCAACAGGTAACAATGACACTTAGGGTGTGTTTGAAGGCTAAGGACAACATCTCAGCATGGAGATTAAATAAGATGGAAATGGTCAAAAAGGCACATGGCAGTCGAAGTTATCAAGCTTTTGCTTGTATCAGGGAACAGGAAATTCTGTATCAGGAAAGGATAATAAAAGATTACTCTTCTAAAAGGATATTATATATACACATTTTTATACTTACTTTCATACTTTAAATGAGTGTGAGCACTATAAAAAGTATTTGGATATGGGGATGACCCAAAGTTTAGACACTGCCTAGATCTGACCTTTAAGAGTTCCACTTAAGCTTCCAATCTCGATAAATGGTGGATTTTGTACCTCTTTACAAAAGCATGGCTGACAACAATACTTCAAGTAGTATATTGTGCTTGATGTAAGGAAACTCTTCAATTACTGTGTACTGTAAGCTGACTTTTGTCAAATCTCGTCTTCTCCACTATAAAAAGAAGGCACTACGCTAAAACTAGGCCAGCAAACATATAGAAGTTTATAATACAAGTAAATAAACAAGTATAAATATCTTGTTTATTTACTAAATATTTCTATTAATCTGTGTGTGTCAAAGCACAAAACCTTTAAGACCCCCTAGTGCACAAGATACCAGATTTTATAACTCCACTAAGCACACCAGTGTAGCAAGCTCCATGATTAACTTTTAAAGCACCACTTTAGCGACACTCAAAGTGGCTTTTAAAATAAGCCCTGATTTTAGGCAAGTGGGTAAGGCACTCTTATAAAGGGCCTGTTAGTTACTAATTTTCCTTGAAACAGGAGGTTTCAAAAATGATAGTATAGAATTTATATTATATACAAAATTATATTCAAAAATATTTTTAAATGCTGTGTTACAGAAAATATTGTTAATATAGAGAAAGACACACACTAGCAAAGTACTTTAATTTCTCCCACTGTCTCTGGAAAACAAGAACAAGAAGAGGAAAGCAATACTTAAAAAAAATCTACAGCTTTCTTAGACCAATACCATTGCTCTTTTTTCTTACAGATTGCAAGGTGACTATCAAAATTCCAGCTCCTGATAGGACCAGATTTAGGTTAGTGTCTCAAATCTCTAGGTAATTGTTAATTATATCAATGGGTAAAACAAAGAAAAAAAATCCCACCTGTTTGCTGCATAATTATTTCCTGCACCGAATATTTTTCTTTTTAAAAAAGAATACTTCCATTTTCTAATATTTATTATATTTCTAATATTTATTTTATTTCTAATATTTATTATCTTATTTGCAACAAGATCAACACAAAGATCATTAAATTATCGAGCCAGATGTATAGGATGAATTTAAATCCAGACTGAACTATAGCTATTTCCAGGTCCACTTTTAAAATGAGTTGGAGCAATGGCCCATTTCTAGGTAAGCATGTTCACACTACGAACTGTATTTTAAAAACAGTCACAATGAATAAATGTTTTAGGTTATTTAACAGCTTAAAGAGCTGCTAAAGATAATGTAAATTACTTCTTCCTATTAATTGTTATTGATTCTTGGAGTTTCTAGGAATAGGGCAAATGTTGCATAGAAAGCATATCACCTAGAACAACCTTTCTGCAACAAGAGAGAGCATCCAATCATAGAGGATGATGTTTATTTTTATTAATTAAGAGCAGTTTCTTTGGAAAATCACTACCGTTAACACAGATAAGCAGAACTTTTCGAGAGAGAGGGGAAGTTTCTGAAACGCACTTAACCCTTTGTGAGTTTCTTCCTTCCATCCACGCTGTATGGCCACGCTTCTTTCCTTCCACTCCCGTTTTTGCCAACATTGCAACAAGGGCAGGAAGGGGGAGAAATATACCAGTGTTAAAAAGCCCAATCCTTATACCTGTGCAACTAAGAAAGAAGTGGGAAAAATCATGACTGTGATTATGAAGCAGCTGGGCATGCAGCCTAAGGATCATTCTGTGCACATTCCATCAAGGAGCACAGAAACATTTACATCTACGGTACCGTATGGAGGAGAATGTATACAGCTTGGGATGCATTTAAACCTGCATTGGAAAAGATGCTGGAAAAACTGAATGATTGGTGCTGATCCACTTTTGCCTGCACCTCGACCATGTGCCTGTCCAGTGGAGAAGTACCTAAGAGTCAGATGACTAAAGGTATCTTCCACTACAGGCTGCCACGCCTATTAATCCAACCTAAGCACAGAGAGCACCTCGGCTTCTCTAGAGCAGAACAACTTGCACTAAATCCATGTCGGCTTATTCTGAGTTCACAAGACAAAAGTAAGTTAAGACTGCATATAAAAGCAGCCGGTTTCCACAGAGCAGTGGAAACCAGCTTCTTCCCAGCGCACCGGCACACGGGACACATGAAGCACAAACTACACGGAGCGCTGCCAGAAGCAAGCAGGGGAGCAACACCCGCCATCCACCTGCCGACAGCCCGCGGAGCGCCAAGTTTGGTCAGCGGAGGGAGCCCCGGGGGCAACGAAGGGAGCCCCGGAGTTTCTCCCGCGGACAGCAGCTCCGGCTCCGAGTGCTCGCCCTACCTGGTAGCGGCCGGAGAGTAGCTGGCTGCGGGACGGGGTGCAGAGCGGCTGGGTGTAGTAGCGCTCCAGCCGTACGCCGCCCGCGCCCAGCGCGTCCAGCCGCGGAGTGTGGATGGCAGAGCCGTGCCAGCCCACGTCGCCCCAGCCCAGGTCGTCAGCCAGCACCAGCACCAGGTGCGGGGCGGGCGGCCGGGGCGCCGCCGGGCGCGGCAGACAGAGGGGCAGGAGGCAGAGGGGCAGGCAGAGGAGCCGGCTGAGCGCCATTCCCACGCCCTCCCACCCCACCGCCGCCGGCAGCAGGAACTGGGCCGCAGAGCCCGCCCTGGGCCTGGGGCTCCGCCCGCCGAGCGAACCGGACGAGGAGGGGGCGGTACCGGGGCGGGGCAGGCCCGGACGCGCCCTGGCCGAGCGGGGCGGCGGAGGCAGGGCCTGCGGCGGGGCTAGCGGTGTGGCTTTGGGACGGTGAGGTTTGGAGTGAGTTGAGAAAGGAAATTGTAAAGTTGTTGCTGGTGTTGGCGGAGTATCCGACTCGCTGATGCTGGCGGTCCGTTCTAATTTTGACTTTCCTCAACTCTTACATTAAACACTCGTTTTAAACCACGGAGCCTTTCCCCAGGGGAACCAGGTAACTATGTTCAAGCTTGTGTTTCAAATAATCTGTGTTTTCAAGGAAGTCACTACAACATTATGAGAAGAGGACATCGTGCTTTCAGGTACAAGTAACTGGGCTGTTACTTCTACCTTCATAGGAGTTCATCCAGATCTAATATACACTGTTTACAGAGTTTATTCTGTGTGTAAGTGAAGTGAGACAGCTGCAACACAGACATGGCCTTGCTGCTTGCTGATGTGTGCTAGGGCCTAGGAAAAACAAGTTGCCACCGTCACTGAAGATGCAGATGAAATTATTCCTGTTGGAGGAACTCTCAGTATCAACTGCACTCTTTCACACACACACACACACGCGACACCCATGTGTGTCATCCCTCCCTCCTCCTCCTTGACCTCTCTGCAAAGCCATAAAAATCACAGTGCTTTTTTCTTTTCATTTTGCCCGTACAGATGAAAAGCCTTGATCTGGGTCTGGCTCTAAAATGGTGGTCGTGACTGTTAGTTACAGTGTAGGAAGGAAGTGAAGCAACCCAGAAGCAGAAATAGCAGCTATGTCAACAGGGCTGTCTGTTTCTGCAAACCACAGAATTGCCTAAAGCAGTAATGCAACCAACCACTACCTTAGTTTTAATCTTGATGTAAAATCTAAGACCGTGAAAGGACAGAAATACCTATCAACTTGGATCAATTTTGTTCATCCATGGAATAAACATAAATTTCAGTGTCCAGCTGAAGATCAAATAACCACCTGTTTCACATTTAGCTAGAATGTGCGTACGTGTATTGCGAAATTTATACTGCCATTTGGTAACAGGTCAAAGAACAGTCCACATTAAAAACTGGTTTTCTTGGTAAGAAAGCCAAATACTGAGTATGCTAGTCTCCTGAGTACTTTCTTTTTGATCAACTACTTTCTTTTTGATTTCTCTTTATAAAGAAAGTTCATGCTTCTATGAATGAAGTCTAGTGGATAAGCCTGTGAAGTTATCAGGTTGGGTTTTTTTTAATGCCACTGATTTCCCTGCTGATTTGAAAACAACAGCAATGATGAGTGATGCCAGATTTTTTCTACAATGACAATATGCTATAGTCAAAGCCAGTACTGGAACAGGAAGCAACAGTACTGTCCTGAAGTCAGTTTTTCCTGAAGTAAATTCCAGGATTGCTGACAAGCTGGTATATGACTATGAGTTGAATTTTTTAAATTGAGATGTGATTCATACTGTTCAAAAGCAGCAAAGTTCCGATTTATCTTTTTCCTAGTTCAGGTCTCATGACCAGTCTCAGATGTCACACTGAACTGTTTATTTGTCTAACATCTTCCATGCCCTTATTACAGGTAAAGTTTAATTCAAAGCACATTCCCATGGAAACCATTTTAGTTCATTCAAAATAATTACTTTGAAAATCTGCATAATGCTGGTGAAATCAGAAATGGTGGATACAAATTTTGCAATAAAATTAATAATAGCTATTCACCTGTCATGTTTTCAAAGTTACTATGGTATTTAGTGCAGCTGAACTCATATTCCCTTGTGTCAAGAGTTATGTGCTGATTATCCTACTCCACCAGAACAGGATAACCTGGTTGCCTGAGCTGACAGTTAAAACATTAAATGGAATTATCCGAAACATATACTGTAGATACTGCACATTCACAGTCTGGATGTTGCTGCCTGTCATATTTTCTAAGTATTTTTGGTTTATTTTATATTTTATTACTGGTTGAGGGAATTGGAATCCCATCAGAAAATACTATTTACACCAGACAACATTCTCTTGAATCAAAAGAATAAATCCTGGAAATGGCCTATGTTCAGTCTCTTGTGTTTCAGTCTACCTTTTCTGAATTTGGGGCTGAATAATTTGGATGCTGTTTTGAGGTCAGTGATTCATGAAGCCGTTACAGTGACACATAAGATTACGGTATCCATGCGGATTTATCATTCCATACAAAGCATGAACATGACACTTTTTCCATGGAAACTTGGAGCAAAAATTCAAATGGTAATAGTAACATCTCGTCTGATATGCAAATACTCTCTGGAGATGGAATAATAAAGGAAAATGAAAAAAAAAATTACATCTGAGAAAACAGCCTTTTGACATATCCTGGATCTGAGTATTTCAGAAAATTTCTGAAATGATGTAGAAATGATGTTGATGACCAACTGTCATTTTTTCCCTTCATTGCAGAAATTGTCTCCTCTGTTAGCTAATGGTATTGCAGAAGACTCCAGAGAAGCCTCTGTCAATCTTTCTACCTTAATGTTTCTGTTTGATTGGTTAGAAGCCCTCTTAAAACTCAGAAGTACTACTTACAACATTCTTGCTCCTGTTCACTTACTCTTGCTGTATCTTGGCACCACAAGTTTATGCAACACCATATCTCAACCTGTAGTGAAGTGACAGGAAGATACAAAAGCTGCTGAACACTTCCCCCATCTCATTTCTCCAGGTTTACCTTTTTTTTTTTTCTTTTTCTTTAAAAGCCTTGAAAGATGGAGCTATATATGTGAATCTCTCTGTAGGCATGATTTGTAAAACTTTGTCTTAATACTGTTTCATTTATCTGTGTTGTGCAAGACGCTGCAATGTTGAGCTATCCTGATGAATACTCAGTAAGCTGATTTGGGTATCAGAAGAGTAAAAAAGAAGCTAGGTCAACTAGGAAGTCCTTTTAGACATACGATTATCACAACTATAGCGCTTCTAATACTCAGCCATCATGCTTAAAACTACTTATGGCATCTCTGTCCTGAATGCATTGTTAAACAGAAAGCACAGCCATTCTTAAGAAGTAACAGAATGTAACAAGCTCTCAGATACTCCATTTGTCTTACAAATGAAGTATTTGAGAGTCAGTGATGAACAGGAAGTTGTTTTAGTCTTCTAACTTGGCTGCAGGAAAGAAACTTTACATTGCCTTGTCCCAGAAACATCATAACACATTGTCTGCTTATCTAAATCTTGAAATGAAATGAAAATTAGAATAATAGAATATGCTGAGTTGGAAGGAACCCACAAGGATCGAGTCCAGCTCCTGGCTCTGCAGAGGACAACCCCAAGAATCACACCATGTGCCTGAGAGCATTGTCCAGAAGCTCCTTGAACTCTAACAAGGTTGGTGCTGTGACCATTTCCCTGTGGAGGCTGTTCCAGTGCCCAACCACAATCTGAGTGAAGAACCTTTTCCTATATCTAACCTAAGCCTCCCTGACACAATTTCATGCCATTCTCTCAGGTCCTGTCACTGCTCACCACAGAGAACTGTGGTGCCTGCTCCTCCTCTTCCCTCGCAAGGAAGTTGCCTCCCTTCAGTCTCCTCTTCTCCAGGCTGAACAGACCAAGCAACCTCAGCCACTCCTCGTATGGCTTCCACTAATTGGCCAAGGCTTGATCTTGGTGACACTTGGGTGACAATAGGTGTCAGTGAGAAACACACACAGAAATCAGAGTCTGGACCTGTATAATGCTACACTGTATAATAAGACAGGTCTGCATCAGCTACATGGAGAAATTAGGATTTGGGAGGTTACAGCTAGAAATGCTCATGAAGGGAACAGTTTCTGAGTTCATCTGACTACAGGAATTGTATCTGCTATTTTGCTCAGGCTGCAGAAAGCCTATCCCTTCTGCACAGTCAGACTTATTCAGTTGATGTGTTCATGAATAGCATTTATTTCTTACAAGTCAGAAAAGAAGTTACAAACCTGATTCTAACTTTTCAAACTGGGATGTGCAGGCATCACTGGAACAGTTTTGGCTTAGCAAACTTATTAGGAAAGTATATGTGAAAGTCTGTCTCAGAGGGACTGTTGCTGTACACTCCAGATTGTGGTGTCTGCAGAATTTGCATAATCTTGGGAAAACTGAAATTCAAAACTGTGCTCCTAAGAATTGCTCTTCTCCTCCATACTCTAAATAAAACCATAGAGCATTGTGTTGTATTTTAGATTTCTGCCAGCTTGACACACTGCAAAAAAATGACAACAGCTTGCCTTTAATAACACCTTTATTATTTTTAATGGTTGATGGAATGTATTTCAATTCCTTATGAAGCATTCTGAGCAGAACTAGTGATATGATTTTAATGACGAGTTTGCTATTCATGTTGTAAAGAAGACAGGGTAAGTAAGCTACTTTACCCTGAGGGCAGGCAAAGGAGGAACTGTTGAGTGTCAAGGAGGAGGAGGAACTTGCTATGGACAGTATCAAGAGCACCTTTCTTGTATGCATTAATGCAATAAATCTGCCAGCCAGTGTGGGAGCAAGCTGAATCAATGACCTACTCATTCCCTGCCACTTTATGCTCGCAAGTGCTTCTGCTCACAAGTGCTGCTGGTTCATCAGCTCTGCTCAGATCTCTACTGTGAACAGCCCACACAAGGAAGTAGGAGGGTAAGACTATTGAATTTCTCATTGATGCATGGCAATGAAGATCTTGTGCTTAGTAATTAGCAAATCTCAGTAGTTCAATTCTCTTAATTTCATGCATATTAACAGCACTACTTCCTACTGTGTAATTTGCTGTATCCTCATTTGAGTTTATATTTTGGGACTTTCACCCTTTCTCTTAAGGCGCATTCTTGTTGGTTCAGTCAGCACCAGTGGCTCTTGTATAATTGTTGCTGGATAATTTTTACTTAAAAGTTCAACTTC